AGCAGCTTAATGTGGCAAAATCGGGCCCGTCTTGGGTGTGTTTCGAAGGCGAACGGAAGTGCCCCCCTCAGGCTTCAGGGTCTAAGCCATAAAACATTCGTCAGGCTTCTAATGGTTTGGACCTGACTTGGGGAATTGGGCTTGGGCCAGCGACGACCCGAAGCGCAACGAATCAAATATGCAAACTGCCTGGGTCAGGCCTGGGTTCAGTGTTGCGGGCTGCGGCAATGGAGAAGACTTTATCCTGCTCAAGTCATCGGGGCCATTCGAGATGGCAGGGAATGAGTTAGCTACCCAGGTACTCCGTACCGACATATGAGTTGGGGTACGGATCTCCGTACACGCTCTGTTGACAATCAGATTATGGCGCAAGGAGCGGGCTATACAATGGTGGTGGTAATCATCAGCCTATAGCAGCTCTTCGTGCTGGACTCAGCCTTGATCCTAGCGCTGGAATCATCGCTTTTCCTTGGTCGCTCTTCAGCTTACTGCGTAATCCGGATGTGTTGTCTTACTACGTAATTAGTGCCGCAACCAGATTCGGTATCAGACGGCATTGGGCTGAATACCTAGGCAAGCCGGTCGCATCTGCGTATACCTACCTTACCTAGATAATGTATCCGTGCTCTGTGGTTTTCCACAATTCGCCATACGCATCTTATCTAAGCATATGGCCAAATGTGCAGTAGCATTATCGCTTATGCTCTGTGAACGTGGCATTATGCGCTGATTACCTACTCTTTCCAGGTAGCAAGGAGATGAAATTAGGACTGATTTCCGAAGCAAATGAGTCCAGCCTCATCTGGGAGAATGGTTCTGCGGAGTACTTCGACAGTGTCTGTGCCTAGAGGCCAAGCGAATGCAGCCTTGCAAGACCCTAGGTGCATGTGAATGCGGCAAGACACGTTGGCTCTTCTACTACCATGTTCCGATAGACTTGGAGATTCGTATCTTAAGTTGGTGCAAATGTTCGCTTGCAGGCAGTGGTTATTTTCATGCTGTACCGGATCCTCGGGTATTACAGAACCAAGGTACGGAAGGGGGAACAAAGATAACCTGACTGCTATTATTAGGCAGGGAGATTTATTGGGCCACTGATACAGGTACCTTATGTAAATACGTACAGACCTGACCGGAGTCCAAAGATTCAACGCATGGCGAATGACCAAGTTATCTTACCTAGGAACAGTACCAACAAAAAGAGGATTGCCTACTTGGTATTCAAAATTCAATGTCAACCATTTATAAGAACTCTCTTCAATGGCAAGACTGGCTTTGTCATAGCTAGCCAAGCCCGAGGCCAATAATGTAGGAGCTGAACAGATCTCAACAAGCGCAGGTGGAAGAGTTGATGAGCCCGTTGGCATGAGTGAGTCTACTTCAGGTACTCGCAGCGTAGACAAGTTTCGAGATCCTTGGTCAGAGTCGTCGCTATGGATACTTTGATGCAATTCAACGCTGTGGAGTGTGGACTCATGGAGTCATTCACCGCCGGCCGGTAAGCTAGTGTAGGTAATAGGTGGCTGCTATATGGTGCCCCATGGTCGCTGGATAAGCTGGTGGTGGAATACCCGGACTTTCCCCGCCCGGGGACTCCATAGTCGAGCCACTCAGAGAGGTGCTAAGGCAGTGTCCCATCTTGCCATCTTACCCAACAAGGTATCTTAGTCACTTTGAACTTGACTTCCGGCCAACTGCGTCACACCTCGGCTGAGACCTCTCACCGTCCTTCGAGTCATTGCTTCGGCCAGACTGCAGCGTCAAAACTTATCCACAGTCTCTCTCTGTCCAAAGCCTCCAATCTTTGAATGCACTTGCAAACTTCCACACCACAAATATCAGACACAGCTGCGCATAGATAACGATCGCCATGGCCTTCAACTAGGAATCCAATTGAGATTCCTCCCCGTCACTCCAAAGTCAGCAAGAGCGCCTTGAGCACGTCGCAGATATCACCACTCAGCTCAGTTATCAAAATGATACCGCGCATAGCGTTTCGTTCCTCTGCCCTTTTTACTGCAATAGCTCTTCAAAATCGGCGTTGACATTCATCGCGAGTTTGTTTCTACTCGATATCACGCGCCTGAGAAACTGCCACACATTCGCCACCACACTCCCCATCCTATCGCAACCCTTGTACTTGAACCATGGCTTCCGGCTCAATATTCACATTCGATACGGATCCTCAACGGGTCTCATCCCCATGGCTGGCTCCTGAAGACTCTGGGAAGAGGTCCAACTCTGATAGTGGACAAATCCGGCCGGGGCACCTCTCAGACTACGGCGTCACCAAGTTGGAAGCAGAGCCGCAAGAAGGTCCCACTGAATACAAGCTTCACCTCTTATTGCGGCCAAGACGGACATACACCGCTATGAGCACCATATCTTCCACCCAAAACTCCAGAATTCCCGCCAGCCGCTCAAAGATTGCAACTGCTGCCCTGTCGGCCTCTAGTCAGAGCCGACAGGTCCGTCTACAACAACTGACTACGCAATTGCTTTGGAGGCTCCAGCAATCTTGTGCCTACCATGCTCTGAATCCCAAGGACCTCATCATACCAAAATTACCCGATGATACGGACGACTTGAGCCAGGCCATGACTCCGCAGAAACCTCTCCCAGGCTTGGAAGAATCTCGTGGAGCATTGTATGAGATTGGTGTTGCTGATGACGGGACTCTGGTGGGGCTTACCAAAGACGAAATGGACGAGAGCATTACGACACTCAAGGTCATGGCAGCCACGCTAGGCTGCCGCGTCGAAATCCTACGCCATGTAATTGTTGGCGAGTGCGAGTGGCTAGAGACGTCCGAGTTGGTGGATAGTGTGGCCACTCACCCTGCCCAAATTGCTCGACAGGCAAGACTTTGGGTTGTAGAGGCTCTCGTTACTCCCGACTACTCAATGAAGAACGGGCACCCAGATGGCTCGGCAGAGGGGCGTCGCGAAGTGAAAGAATCGCCAAGGGCTACCGAGTCTGTTGTGCAACCAAGCAGAGGGCGCTCTACCACGGATCAGCTAAGGATAACGCTCACTGGACCAACGACGTCCGGGAAATCTACCTTGCTGGGTACTTTGTCCACGGGCACTGTCGACAACGGACGAGGAAAAAGCCGGATCAGTCTCTTCAAACATCGGCACGAGGTCGCATCTGGGCTTACTAGCTCTGTAGCACAGGAGCTTATCGGCTACAAGGACCACGCCATATTCAACTATTCGCAAGATCACGTCGAGTCGTGGATTGATATACACGACAGTGCCGAGAATGGTCGCTTGGTTTTTGTTTCCGATTCCGCCGGCCATCCCCGTTACCGCCGGACCATTCTCCGCGGTTTGTTCGGCTGGGCTCCACAGTGGACTATTCTCTGTCTGGCGGCAGACGATACCGACGCGAGTTCGACAAAAGACGGAGCGAGTTCTACCGCCAATGACGTCCTTGGAGTCGCAGGGGCTGGCGTGGATCTTGCCAAAGCTCATCTCGAGTTATGCCTAAAACTGAAGACTCCTCTGGCTATCGTCATCACAAAAATGGACCTTGCAACCAAAGCTAGTCTGCATCGAATTCTTGGACAGCTCTTGACACACATCAAAGCAGCTGGTAGAGTCCCCAAGATCCTCCAACCAGCTCAAGGCAGTGTTCAGGAATGGGCAGCTGTTCCTTCAGCAGATCTCGACAAGGTGAAGGCTGTCACCACAGAGATGGATCGGGATGGGGACCTCCTCAAATTCGTTCCAATAATACTTACCAGTGCTGTCAGCGGTGCTGGTATTGGGATGACACATGCCCTCTTGGAGAGCCTCCCCCTGCCACCAGTCCCTACTGCCAACGACTACGTCGGGATGGCATTGAATCCCGAACAGCCGTCGTGCTTGTTCCACATTGACGACACCTTTAGCCTTCCAGCGTCCTACGCTTCTCTTGCTGAGAATCCCGATCAAAATGACATGGGAACGGTTGTATCCGGATACCTACGTTTTGGCCAGCTTTCGGTCGGAGACAGCATCATTGTTGGACCATTCCCTTCCGGCGAGGACGACTTCAAAGGCATGACACCGGAGGACCGGGCCTCTCCTGGCAATTATGGGCTGTCAATATCTCACCCATCGTCGGCAGAACTTGCCAAGATTGCAATTCGCAATACAGTGGCAGCCTCCACAATCCAAGGAGAATGGCACAAAGCCAAAATTGTCAGCATACGTAATTTACGGCTCCCCGTGAACACACTTGAAGCTGGTCAAGTCGGCACCATTGGAATCGTGCTGGAAATGCCCCAAGAGAAATCGGCAGAAGCGGCTTTCGAGACACCGTTGGCAGCTCCTCGAATCCGGAAAGGCATGGTCCTGGCCATTCCATCCAAACATATGGCGGACACCGGCATGTCCCTCCAAGCAGCTAGTGGACTTACGGTGTCATTCAGAGACCCCAACACTGCATCGCTGGCGTATGGGTCTCTTGTTAATGTTTACGTCGGTAGCGTTCGGGCGGCGGCCCGAGTCAAGGGCGTTTTCAGACTTGCCTCAAGGAATGGCTCGAACAAAGCCAAGTCCGAAGAGACTGAAGATATCTTCGACATGAACGAACATGACGAGTCAGCCCCTACATATGATCTTGAGTTCTCGGGCGGCGTTCAGGTTACATTGGAGCTGCTAACCAGTCGAGAATGGGTCGAAATGGGCTCTCAAATCCTTGTGCTCGAGGGAGGCCGCAATGATAGATCTGGTCTAGAGGGTTTCATGGGAACTGTCGTCGAGATTGTGGACTGATTTTGCTTCTTGCGTTTTGCGTTTGCGTTTTGCGTGGGAATTTTGTTTTGATCAGACTTTATAGCGGCGTTGTTGAGCATATTACCACATCCTTCACTTATAGGTATCGTTATACCAGCGTTGTCATGTTCATTTTCAGATTATGGTTCTGCCATGATGTATACCTGCGACTACGACCCATATGCTGGTTCCCCAACGCCTGACGCCAGAAATGCCCCCTTGACTAACCGTATTTTATTAAGCCCTCACCAAACCGTAGAACAAAGTCCAGGTGAGAATGAAACCAGAAAGACCTCCGAGCAGCCCACTCGTCCAGAAGTCGAACGGCCCCTTGAAGTAACGGCTCGTGCTGAGGAATGGGAGACCTGCTGATGTCGATTCGGGAGCGATGCGCAGGACGTAGAACAAGGCGGCGGTGATGAAAGAGAAGACGAGGTAGAAGAGGAAGCCGCTGTACGATTCGAGACCGAGGATGCCGGCCGCGACACCGAAGAGGGATGCTGAAAGACTCTGCAAGTTTGATAGGGTCTGTGGAAGGCGCGATATGGTTAGCGACAAAGATTACGTCGGCCATTGAGGTCAGCTTCAGGGACCTATCCCACCTTGGTGTTGTGCATCACGGATTCCTGCACAATGGGGGAGATTTGGTAGTCGCGTTCCGACGGCATCGTGGAGGTGTTGCTGGTATGTGGTGCACGTTTATCAGGTCGCCGGAGAGCTCGTGTCTTATCAGGGGGCAACGGAAGACCTTGGGTCTCGCGGTCGTATCTTTTCCGTCGGCGATGTACTTCGTGTTTGGGGGGTCTACCTTAGGTAGTGGTGTCTGTTCTGTTCATTGAGCTCTTCCGTCACAAAGCGGGCCACGGATTAGGTAATACCAGCTTCCAATCGAATAAGGTATGGTCCGTTGGGGTTTTGGCAGGTCACTGGCTCACTATGATTCCTTACCTAATCCCGCGAAGGAAAGTTGGAGATCGGTTCACGGTATGATAATTTTCCAGACTCCCTACGTACTTGGTACCTACCTGCCTATCCAATCTTGCGTTAGTGTCCCCAGATCGGTGGGTGGAGAGTCATGTCGGTCTCGGCTCCGCCCCGTGTCGTCCCATCCAATGTACCAAAATTAAAAATATGCAAATAATAATCCCCAGGTACGCAATACGTGATGCACAAGCCACATTCTCGGTGCGCAAAACCTCACCGCGACACCGTTAGAACGCTCCGTTAGCTGGGGCAGATCATATGCAACCACCCCACCGAGGTTCCGACTTTGTACCCCTAGCACCTTTAATCGGTTACAGGGGTCCAGTTTCCTTCCCCATTCGCGAGCGGGCTGGTCACTCTCGGGTCGGCGCTTTGAGCGAACTCTCCCTTCCCCCCTGGTGAGCCCTCCGCAATCACAATACGTATCCGTACTCCGTACATACAATCCGTATATATCCCCCGAAGCACCGTCTGCCTACTAGAGAGCAGCGTTTGCTCATGTTTTGCCTTTCCCTTGAGTCTTTTAAATATTAGTCGACCAAAACACCTCACCACCCCTCAAACCGTTCACGATCCCACTACGCAGCGGCCAACGCGACGACTTGGGGCGACAGATGGCCGTGCTGCTTGCAGGTGCCTCCTCGATACTTGCCAGGTCGCTAGATGGAGCCTGTTGTGTTTGACCAGTCGCCGCTCGCAGAGTATCTTCGTGGTGAGTGCAACTTCCTCATAGGCGAACACCCGTCATGCCATTGAGCTCGCCCACTGATAATCTGCGCGCATGCTATAGACGAAGGCGAAGAGGAGCAGGCAGGATGGGCGCACGACGATCCAACCTACGATGTGTCGCCTCCTTCAAGCCCTGAGTTCGCGCCGACAGGTCGGCCGATGGTTAGGTCGAGATTCCGCAATAATCCCCTCAGAGTCGACATACCTACCAAAGCGGCCTCCGACAAGTCTTACAGACTCAGCTATTCGGTGCGCAATGCAAATCCCCTATCTGTTGGCACATGGGGAAATTACTGATGTGTGTCCTTTCCAGACCGCGGTAGCATCCAGGATTGACCGAGCCGACAACTCCAAATTCCTCGAGCAATTTCGCTATACTATTATCGCATCCCAGCTATTGAGTGGGCACTCCATATTATCCCAGAACCATGCATCATCCCGGTCTGCCAATATGGCCATTGACGGAAACCCGGCCGACAAGTTGCTGGATTCAACGAGCGCGGTCGTCGTCGTTCTAGGGGCATTGGCTCTCGTCGTCTCGATCAACTGGCTTGCAGGAACAGGGCCATTGAACAAACGGCGCACTTTCGTCATTCTGTTGGTTTTTGTGATCGCTGCAGGGATCGCCCATGTGTTTATGCGTAGACAATGGCTGAGGTACAGACGGCTCCAAGCACTGTCAGAGGTCACTGCATTTGTTTCAAACTCTCAGGAATTCGACAGCGCGACTGGCGCAGCGATTGCTCTGGTGCAAGAGGTGGAACTTGTTTCCAGAGGTTACCGTCTGTAAGTTCAATTTCTCCTCTGGCCCAGTAGCTGGCGAGAAAGTCCGTGATGCGCTGACACAAACTTTAGGAGTGCGCCTCTTCCGCCCATCAGCCGCATAGAGGATCGCTCACAGACTCGCAAGTGCGTGCGGCTCCGTAGGGCTCTGAGGGCGTGCTTCGCGGATGTCATTCCCGCATACGATCAGACCGTGGCGGTAGTGAAAGGGTTCTCGGAACAACTCGACCTCGAGAAGTACTACGACATTTACGATATCAGCGATTTCGACATGTCCGATGCCCAGCAAGGCTTCAAGGAGGATGAGTTTGAGGACACCGAGTCTTTGAGGACGCTCAAGATCCTCGCCGCACGGTTTCACACCATCCGGAATATGTTCTTGTGTGCATTGTTGGCCCTGGACGCGAGCGGTGAGAGCGACGACCTCTTGAAATGGACTACCACAGTAGAAGCGGTGCGCACTCTCAATACGGTCACCCAGAGGGCATTCGACAACCTGAAAAGACTTCTGAGCGATGAGGAGTGTAAGTGATCCTTTCATCTCACTATAAGGCGTGTTGACTAACGTTCGCAAGCATTCCCACCACCGCCAACTCCAAAGATGCCATTAACACCTGGTCGTGAGAGATGGAGATCACAATTACGGAAACTGAACTCTTTGTCCAGCGGTATTCGCGGCTTACAGGCTAAATTGACGCTGTTAAGGGAGGAGTCTGACAGAAGCCTCAATGAGTCTGACGACATTTCCGAGCTCGGATCCAACCTCATGTCACAGTATGAGTCCATAGGAGCTGACCTGAAGATACTGATGCAGGCCTGGGAGGAAGGCAAAGCGGCACTCGCTCTGGGTATCGACCGGAACGAAAAGCGACTTTCTTCCATGAGCACACTGCTGTCTCCGACCAGCTCTCTCAGTGGGCTCACGACAGTTGATGAGGGAGGCGGAGCAGCCGAAGCGCTCAAAGCTTTGAACGGAGAGTCCCCCTCAAGCTTAGACTTTAGCAGCACAGGAGAGCCCGACACGGAGGAGATATTTGAGGCGGTCGCTAAGCCGTTCCGGCCTCGCAGCTTATTGACGAGAGACGAGCGCATCGTCAAGATGAGAGAAGACCGGGAGAAACGAGAGATCGCCAAAGAAAAGGCGGATGCCAACAGAGGCATGCTCAAGGAACTTGAGATGGTCATCAATCTCCGGCCCCGTCCACGAACCGGGACGAATCCATCACGCATTGTTTCGATGTGATGAGGACATGACATTTGATGACGGACATGGCGTTCTGGTGCAACGATTCAGCTAATCACAGTCATTTGAATCTTCGTTTTCCTTTTCTGTTCTTGGTTTCTGATACATAATCTCTGCAAACACATTCGCACTCAGGATGCATATAGAAGGGGGTTTCAGGGAATCCGGATGGGAGGTATCGATCGCTTCCAGTTGACCCATTTGTATTGTATAATGGCACTCATGCCCAGCATGACATCTGGTGCAGGCTTAGAGATCGGGCCAGATAATCTCTGGAGACTACTTTTAGTATTACAAGCAAAAAAAGTTAGTATCTACTAGGGAACTAAAAGCGAGAGAAATCAATAGCCCTATTGTTTGATCTGTACTTTGTTTTGTTTACATCTTCACCAGCCACACAGGGTTGCAACAACTCCAGTGTTTTGCGCCGTTTTTATTGCTTATATCCAACGGTTGCCATCCGGAGCTTGAACAAAGAAGCCCGGTCGTCAGGGAGAAGAAAGGAGGAGCCACAATTCAGGGGCTTGGAGCATCAACGTACACCCCTGGCGAAGTGGAGAGAGCTCGGTGAGCCCGGACCAGCTGCTATCTCAGGAGGGCAAAATGCGCCTGGCAGGCTGCTCGCTTGTCCTTCCAAGGATACGTAGGTGAACGGTGCACGAGCCATCCGTCAGCGATCCAAGACGGAGCGGACGCTGGCTGGCGTGCCTGTGAGTGAGTGTTCCTGCCCCCCCCACGCGCGTTGTTGGCGTTGAGCCCTATTAAACGCTTGACGCGTCGTTCCCTCGCCAGCCCACTACGACGCGCGACCGTGTTTGCCCATTAAAGTGCTTTCCGCGACAAGACCTTCCACCCTTCATCAACCCCTCAACCACAGACTTGACGATCTCAACTTTCACAACAGCTCACCATCATCTCTGTGCCTTCCCTTCCGCTTCCTTGATACCCGAAGATACCCCTCTGCTCTTATTCTTTTCACAAACATATAATCAGCCAGTACGTCGTACCATCCACACTATTTTTTTTCTTCTTTCTTCCACGATCCTCTCAGTTTTCGATCCAAGTGCATGACGCTGACATTTCGCAGAGATGTTGGAAGCCAGACTCGACCAGGCCGATATCCTGAAGAAGGTAATTCTTTCCTAGCTTGGTTTGATAGCCATGGCTGCTGGTTCTGTGACTAACCTGCCCAGGTTGTCGACGCCATCAAGGATCTCGTTCAGGACTGCAACTTCGACTGCAATGACTCCGGCATCATGCTTCAGGCCATGGACAACTCCCACGTTGCTTTGGTCTCCATGGCTCTCAAGGCCGAGGCTTTTTGTCCCTTCCGCTGCGACCGCAACATTGCGCTCGGCGTCAACCTTGGCTCCTTGACCAAGGTCCTCCGCGCCGCCCAAGGCGACGACATCCTGACGCTCAAGGCTGAGGATGCCCCCGACAGCCTGAACATCCTCTTCGAGAGCTCAGCCAACGACCGTATCAGCGAGTACGACCTCAAGTTGATGGACATTGACCAGGAGCACCTGGGTATTCCCGAGACGGACTACGCCTCCACTATCACCATGCCGAGCAGCGAGTTCAGACGCATCTGCGCGGACTTGATCGCAATGAGCGAGTCGGGTAGGCAGCGCTGTCCCTTGTAAACACTTTTTTGAAAATACAAATTCTAACTTGCTGCCGCGTACAGTTACGATCGACGCGAGCAAGGACGGTGTCAAATTCGCTGCCAGCGGTGACATTGGCAATGGATCCGTCACCCTGCGAAGCCACACCAACGTGGACAAGCCCGAAAACAACGTCGAAATTGAGCTCTCTGAGCCTGTCTCCCTGACCTTCTCTCTCAAGTACCTCGTCAACTTCTGCAAGGCCGCCGCAATTTCCAAGCAAGTCAAGATTTGCCTCTCTAACGAGGTACCGCTGCTTGTC